CCCCTCCCAGTAGGGTTGGGATTGTACTGTATTCCCTACTGGTTTACCCTTCCCCCCTGTCAAGGGTAACATTTTCCCTGGGTGCAGAGGCTCCTCATAGTCTCCAAGACTGAAGGACCTGTAAAAACAGAAACATCACATTTTAACAATCATTTTTCTTTCTAAATCTCTGAAATGCAAAAGTAAACAATTAAGCACAAATGTTCTCTCTACCTGTAAAGAAAGGGAAAACTGGACAACCTGCTTAACTCCTGCCAGTCCATCACACTCATGCTTGCTGCCTTCTCTGGGGCTGTGCATTAACTGGTACATGTGTCAGGTATGAAAAGTGAGGGCAAGCACAGGTGAAATGGGCTCACAGGACGCTATCACCCCTTCTGCACAAAGGGCCTAATAGGAACTGTTAATGGGCCACTTTATTTCCTTGACATTTTAACAATATTTGCAGACTTATTTTTCCAGCATTCCCAATAAACCAACCTATCAAATAACAAATAAGCATTACTTACTTTTGTTTCTCTGATGTTTTAGTGTCTAGACTAAAATTAATACACCAAGAATACTAATTATCAATTAACCCATGGTCATGGGGTGATTTTGACTCATACTGACCTATGTAAATCTTAATAGGAGAAGAATGCCTTTCTCCTGTGGGACAGCAAGTGGGTTGAGAATACCTATCTTTCAGTTTGTAACACTTACCCCCTTATCCTGTCACTATATTGAGCAAAAGTCAAAAGCAACACTGTTCTCATTTAGGAATTCTTCTGACTCGACTTTTACTCAATCATTCCTGCAGTTTTAGGTGATTTGATTTTCCTGCTAAAGACTTTTTTCAGTGTTAGTATAGAGGGTATTAGTTACCTACGTCAAACCAGATATTTATGAAAGTTCATGTGACCAAAGGGGGCAATTAATCAAGCCCACCTTTAGAGACGTATAAGCAAACTTTTTTCTCCTACCTCTGAAAAAATGAAGAATATAAAAGGGCAGTAATGAAAAGTTATGTATACACTTCTATTTCTAGCTCTAAAATGGAGAATTACTTTTTATCTTACATTAGAACATTGCTCATCATAGCTAATTCATAACTGGTGGTACGTTATGACAGAGACAACAGAAAGTAATCTTGAGTGAGCGAGACTTGGGAATCTGTTAAAAGTTTTCAGCTCTGCAAAATCCAAAGTCAATTTCATCTTTGGCATTTTAATGAAATTAGGGAAATAAAATACTTTTCTAAATTACTAAAGCCATTAAAAAAGGCTCTGAGCACTTAGGGCCAAAGTGGGACAACAAACACAAATGCTCTGAGATACTTATTTTAATACACCCTCTATACATGCATAGTGAGCACAACCGGTTTCTCTGGTCAAGTATTTCTCAATTCATGATTAAAACCTAACCAAGGGTGCTAAAACACTGGTTCATTGTACTGGGCTAAATGCTGCTACCACATGAAAGAAAAACATCTCAATTAGAGAATAATGCATGAAAAATATATCCATTCCTTTTCTCTATATTTAAATTACCAATCTCTGCTTTTTAAATTGTTATTTGAGTGAAAAAAAAAAAGTTCTAGGAATTGATGGAACACCAACTGACATGTTACAACACACAGATGCAACCTTGGATGTGCTCACCAAGCTATACTAAGAAACCTGGAGGACAGCTAGCTACCTGGCCAACTCAGTGAAAGAGATTTGTATTTGTTCCCATTCTCTAAGAGATGACCCAAAATAATGTGGAAATCAAACAGAATCACTAATACTACATGCAAGCAAAATTTTTCCATTGATGATCAGAAAATGACTAGAAGAGTACATTGACAGAGAATTGTTGGAAATCCAGGCCAGATTTAGAGGCCATGGCACTAGAGCTATCACTGCTGATGTTAGACTGATCTTGGATGAAAGCAGAGAATATCAGAAGGATGGTCTATTTGTCCTTGATTGACTTTGCAAAAGAATTTAATATGTGGATTACGATAAATTATGGCTAACATTGAGAAGAATGGGAATACCAGAATGCTTAATTGTGCTTGTGCAAAACTTTTATCAGGGAGCTGCAAGGGAATGCTGCATGATTTAAAATCATGTAAGGTCGTGTGGAAAGGATGCATCCTTTTTCCATACTTATTTTAAAAAACTCTAGTCCTTTGAGTTTCTGAATTTTGACAATTCTACTTAGGTTATTTTCTAAAACTTGGATTTTGCAGAGCTGAAAACTTTGATTCCCAAGTCGAGAGAGAGAGAGAATAAAATGACATCATAAATTCAAGAACCACTTTTATTTCAACTCCTGTAATCTCTAACACACTATACTGAGAAAATCAGCCAGATTTATCACTTGGGTTTTCTTGCTGATATTCAGAGGACACAGCCTTTGCATTGGCTAGTAGTACAGCTCCTGAAAGACTGCTACTACAGTTCATAAATACTTTGCAGCTCCGCTGGACGAAGACGGGCATTGTCCTCCCATGTCATTTACAATGGAGGCTCAGCCTCCATTTGATGGAGGATTAGCTATCAATCTGTTATGGCTCTTCAGTAACAAATTTTGTGGGGAAGTGTTATAAATGAAGCCATTTTATTTTGTTTACAAATTCTTGCGAAAATCCTCTAACCTTCATTTAAGTAATTACAATCTTAAAAGTCTAATCTAGCACAATGGGAAACTGGGTTCAATCTCTATAGAAAACAAATACCTGCTATTCTATTTAGTAGGTTTCTGATTATAGCCCCAACTGAATTACTACGTCTTGAAAATGTCTAAACTTCTTGTAACTTACCCCTAATTATGGGACTGCAGCTTATGTGTATAAGATTAAACACCATAAAAAGCTGCAAGACGCTCTTTTAAGGGAAGAGGAAACTGGTCAGAGAAACGTCTCCAATTTTCATCCCCAACTTGATTTTTAAATCCATGAAGGATCTGTGAAGAGTAAAAAAATAGTTCATTAAAGACTATTTTGACAAAAAGTGTTAAGTATATTTAATTTGTATCAAGCTTAGCACTCAGCAAGTGTACTAGTAAAAGATGTATCTGAACAACTTCTGACATCATAGGAATGAAAATCAAACACAAAAAATAAAGAATTCAAAACAACTATGAGATATCATCTTACCCCAGTAAGAATAGCAAAATTTAACGGAATAGCAAACATCAAATGCTGGTGAGGTTGTGGAGAAATTGGAACCCTTATTCACTACTGGTGGGAGTGTAAAATGGTGCAACCACTACGGAAGGCTGAATGGCAAATTGCAAACAGAAATACCATTTGACCCAGCAATTCCACTACTGGGAATTTATCCTAAAGAAACCATAACGGCCACCCAAGCAGATACATGCACACCCATGTTTATTGCTGTGTTGTTCACAATAGCAAAGAGCTGGGAATAACCCAACTGCCCATCAACAAACGAATGGATAGAGAAGCTGTGGTATATTCACACAATGGAATACTATACTGCATTAAAAAATAAGGAAGTCATGCAATATTAAAAATGGGTGACCCTGGAGGACATTATGCTGACGGAAGTATCTCAGTCACAAAAGGACAAATACTGCATAGGGCAACTGTTGTAAAACAGGACTGACACTGGGGTTGAGGGAGACTGAGTAAGATGGGATAAATTATGAATACTGTATTGTAGCAGATGAGGAAAAGAATTGTTTAAAAGGGATATATGACTGGATATTATTGTCATGACAGGAGTCCAGAATGAATGTTGCATGGACTTGGGGAGGAGGGATTACATAACAATGAAAGTGTTTTTCTTTTACTTTTCAAGGAGAAGAGTGAACTGGGGGGTGGGGATGGGCAGGGAGAAAAGTGCAAGAATAAATGACTGGAAACCCTAAGTCTCTGTAAACTTTCATTAAAATAAAAAAAAAATAAAAATAAAAAAAAAAAAAGAAAAAAGAATTGACCCAAAGGATAAATTTTCTATGCTATATTAAGTTTTTTAAATTGGGAAGTATTCAAGCTTTGGGTTCACAACTAACAGTAAGTCAGTCAAATGTATGGAGGCATTTTATTACGCTGACTAATGACTGGAGTTAAAAGGCACCAAATAAAGTAAAGAACTATATAGGCTTAATCCCCAAGGAAAGAAAAGATTCCCCCCATCTGTTTCAAGCTACACATCCAATTCCACACAGCCATCTTGGAAAATACAGGCTATTTTACAAAAGCAAGAAAATAGAACAGGAATTAGTGATATTGCTTGGAAAAATATTTTCAAAGAATATACTGATTCAAAATTACTACTGCACCTTTAGGGGGAAAAAAAAAACCCCCACAAAATAAAAAAACCAGAAATCAGCCACCCACACAATTACAACATTTTATATTTTTAACCAAAACAAGTCTACTAAGATAGAGCCTTTACTATTAAACAAAATCAATTTAATCTACTTTTCAAGTATGACTATAGCAGTAAAAAATAAAACATTACAGTTAGTTACCTTACAGAACATGTCTCTGAGATCATCTTTTGGACTAATCCATGATGCAACAGCATCACAAAAAAATATAAAATCCTGTAACAAGAAATATACCTTAGATGAATACTTGTCCAAGACAGTAGAAAGAAAGATATACAAGAGTTATGTCATGATAAAAAACATAATGGCTATTTCTGTTATGCCACCATAAAGGATCCTTCATTCATGTTTTAATACAGTTGAATTTTCATGCAAACCCATGTTCACTGTGGCTTTGTTCAAAATAGCAAAGAGTTGGGAACAACCCAAGTGCCCGTCAACAAACAAATGGATAGAGAGTCTCTGGTATATTCACACAATGGAATACTATGCTGCAGTGAATAACAAGGAACTCATGAAATATACAAAATGGATGACCCTGGAGGACATTATGCTGAGTGAAATATCTCAATCACAAAGGGACAGAATTGCATAATGCCACTGTTGTAAAACACGACTAAGATTGAGGTTGAGGAAGACTTAGAAAGATGGGATAGATTTTGTATACTGCATTTGAAACAGATGAGGGAGAGAATTGTTTAAAAGCGATATATCATTAGGTATTATTATCATGACAGGAGTCCAGAATAAAGGCTGCATTGTGGAGTGCACTTGGGAGGAGGGATTGTACAATAATGAAAGAATTTTTCTTTTACTTTTCAGAGACGAGAAAATTGGGGGAGGAAGGGTGGGCAGGGAGAAAAATGCAATAATGAGTGGATGGAAATCCAAAGTCTGTAAATGTTCATTAAAATTAAAAAAACAACCCAAAAAACAAAACAAAACAAAAAACCCAACAGTTGAATTTTCACATCATACAACAAAACTCTAGTCTAGTTAAGTGTTTATTACCAGTAAAAGACTAAAAGCACTGAATAAGATAAATTTAAATCAAAATACCAAAAAAATCTTACTGAATTATTAAAGACATATAAAAATGTAATCATTTTAGATTTCTGATCAGACATTCTGAGAACATTTTATAGACACTTTAGTATAAATCAAATAAGGTTGTCCTGAAATAGAGCAATTCACAGATTTAAATTTTCTTATCCATCTTTAGACAAAAACATAAAAGAAAAAAGCACAATTACAAACAACATTCAATCCAACAGAATTAAAAAACTCAACTCTCAGACATGTTTTAAAAGCTAACCATTACGCTAAGATCAAGGTTAGAACAGGTGTATGCATTTTGAAATTATTTCACAAAAGTATTTTTTAACGTATCAAGTCTTAACTGAATTATCAACAGCTCAACAGAAGACATTATAGATACTTTTAAAATGCTAACTACTTTAAATGTTATTAAATTTGGAGCACTATTTAAAAAAATGACTAATTCTAAAGCATATGTCCAAGATACTTTTAAGGAAAGAAAATACCACTTCATTAAATTTCATGATTTATTCAGCTTAAGAATCTTCCAAATATTAAAACATGATGCTAAAAATTTTATACATAAAAAGAAAAAACAACAACACCCCACCCCACAATTTCTTTCGGAAAAGCATGTTACCTACAGTTATCAGTAATGATTGCATTATCACCTATTACTTTCACTGTACTAAATGTTAACTTAAAAAGACAACTAAAATTTTGGTGTGAAGAAGTTCCTTACTAATTTGGTATTATAGAAAAGATACTACTTAAAAACACACTTAAGATGACACAAAATTCTTCTGTCTCAGAATTCAGGAAACAGAAGTTCATAGGGTTCATTAGTCCCTCACATTAATCAATATTTGATTCGCTTCTTCACTCCGCTCCATTGAGGACTAGTAATTGCACCTTAGTTGGCCACTAGCAAATTTTTAAGATCTCAGTTGCCACTCACTGCAGCAGGATGCAGAACGCTGTTGTACACTGTTCATGGTTTCTTTTTCTAAAAGAATCCAGAAGTCCCTTGAGACTATGGCCCTGCGTTCCTATGACCAGCAACACTTTTCCTCAGAGTGTTTGATCATGCTTAATAAGATTACATAACTTATACCCCCCACCCCCATTACTATCTCTACTGTACAGGTGGACCTTTTATAGCACATATAGGTACAAAGTTGTATCTTTCTCATCTAACTGGAGCTGACTTATAGCTGATCCTAGTTGGGTTTAGACAGTAAACTACACAGGAAATGATTGCCCATTTTTCTCCTTAGGAATAGCAAGTAGATTCAAATTGCTTTCACAGTCTATAGCACAACTCTTTACAGACTATGAAATATTGTCTGTCAAATATATGTGGTCTCTCCTTCACCTACACACACTTACTCATCTTGTCTGTCAGCTCATGTCATGAAAATTTTAAGCTGATAACTCATGTTTCTAAGAAATGTCAAAATTTAAAAGGTCTCAATTTAAAATGTGCAAAGTATCTTTTAAAAGAGCAAATTTTCTAGAAGTAAAAGTTAAAATGATCATAAATATTAAAATGTCAATGGTTTATTTACCAGTATTTTCAGTTTACACACCAATGAACCTCTTAAGTTTAATTCTAAATAGTATTTTTTTTGAGCCCTGGTGGTAGTTTGTATTACATGTTGCGCTACTAACCAAAAGGTCAGCAGTTCAAATCTACCAGGTGCTCGACAGGAACAGTCTCTTCCTGAAAAGTGCGTTAAGCATAGATCCACTCAATTTGGTGAAGTGATCTAAACAAGAAGCATGTAGGAAGGAATACATGAAATATGAACACAAACGCATCAAGCTTTGGTGTATTTGAAAACCAGAAATCAGACTTCTACTTATTTATGATCATATTTCATAACAAATATTTAGAGAATAAGTACAGTTTATCATCATTTCAAGAATCTAAAAAAAATACCCATACTTAAAATGTACAATTTGGGGGGGAGAGGAAGTACAATTTGTTTTAATTTAATTGTATGTTAACACAAACTATTCTACAATTAAGGTCATAACACTTCTTTTAAAATGTTATTATCCAGAATTTTAAAAGTTAAAAGCAAATCCTCAAGAGCAGCTTACTTGGATTACTCCACTGGGATTCACACTGATCATGGTACAAATGCCACGAAATGCGGAATCCTTTTCCTCATTGTCCCTTATGTTTCTCAGAGAAGTGCACCTAGTAAATTACAGAACTGAGTTTAGTATTGGAGCAAAAAGCAGTTTAAAGTATAATAAAAATGGACAGTATTTAATGGAATAAGCACTAGATTATAAATGATGAGGATAGCCAGAGTTTTTTTAGGTAAGTTTAAGATTCTTATACTTCCTGTATGTTAGGTCTTTCTAATCTTGATATTGTCGAAAACACTGAAATGCATATTGCCTTAATGACAGCATGTATGAAAATGACAAGTAATTTGAACCTATTTACACTGTATCAATGATTTTGAGCCATTAGTAAATGATCAGATTAATTTTAAAAACTGTACCATAACTTGTATTCCATTAAACACTACTAAATATGGCTTGAATTGAAAGACTGTCTCAATCAAAGGAAGCAGAACATAGAATATATTGCCACAATAAAAAATATTATTACACAACTTATGATGTAGATGTTTAACCTTTACATCAACAAGCAAATACGATTTTTATACATAACAAGTTTAAACACATATTTTTTAAAGGCAATCCAAGTTTGTAAATTCTAAGAAAGGAAAAGTAATGCAATAACCTAAATTTTAGAGTATTTGCATGCATTTTTACTTTTTTGGTGGATATTTAAGTGCTTTTTATGTATAATCAAGCTTTTTAACACAGCAAGCATGTGACAATCTTATCCCATGCATCAATTAGTCGTTAGCCACAACATAAAATAAATATACATGACGATGCTACTAAAAAACCTCACAAACCTGATAGGACAAGATTAGTCACATGGTTGGCAATGATTAAGGATTGTGATTTTTGTAACCAACTGAAAATATATCTAAAAGTGAGATAGAAAGAGAAAGAAAGAGTGAAGAAAAATGAATTAAAAAAAAAAGATTGAATAATACACACCAGGGTCTTATAAACTGCTGTAGCATGGGGGCCACCTCTTGAGGACAAACGTAACCAAGACGACCAATTGTTATTGCTAAGGTAACGCAATCACGGTTATACACCACCAAACGCCAACCAAGACATGAGCAAATGAGGGGGAAGGAGAAAAAATAAAGAAAAAACAACAAATAACTCAGAAACAGAAACCAACAGAATTTGTGTATGATAATAAACATAAGATTTCACCAGTGCTGTTTATTACCACCCCCTAAAGTAAGGGGCAGCAACATATATGGCATACTCTTGGAAAAAGGAAAAAAAAAGGAATCAAAAAAACTTTAAAGATTGAGAGAACACCAAAAACCATGATAAATGCTTATCTTGCAAGATTAATTGCCAAAATTATAATTCTGCTAATAAAAAGGTGAGCAATTAAATGGATGTTATTTAGAGAATCTTTATTCACAGCCAGTCAGAAGAACTTCAGAATAAAGAAATCTTAATTTTTCTCTAAGAAGTATCACCAAAAGAAATTTCTGAAAGGTTTATTCAAATTATCTTTGTTGTTAAAACCATTAACTACATTTTCTTACATCTGTTTATAAGCTATTGCCAATTTTTGAAAATTATTTATTAAGCTAATCAAAATTTCAGCGAAGAATTTTTTCTTTTTGCTGACAGTTCCAAAACAAATCAATGGATTATCTGTTGATGGACATAAGATAATCTTATGTTATTTACTGAGTGAATGGATTGGAAAATGGTTGTGTTATGTCAAATCTCATTCTGACAAGGTCCTGGTAATAATGATACTAATTCAGACAATAGCCCAGTTACTGCAAACCATATTGGATAAAAAAAAACTATAGGAGAAATTTGGACAGTCCACTGTAATGAGACGTGATTGTGGACTTAAGGAAATAATATTCTGTGTTGTTGAAACAGGCATATGGCATAAAATAGGTAAAACAATGTATTGTTAACATGCTCATATTTTGTTTTTAAAACTTTTAAATTGCATTAATGAAGCATGTGTACTCATCAATAAAAATCAGAAAGCTAAACTTACAAAGAGCTAAAATAAGTACAATTTAGAATTGCAATGTGCAATTCAAAACTACATACATATAAATACATTTATACACAAAGGGGGGAAAATACAAACAGAAAACAAACCATGAGGTACTTTAATGGTGTTCTCTCAAGAACTTACAGGTTAACCTTTCATAAAAAAAGGGTGGGAGGTAAAGAAAAATGTTTAAGGATTACTTGAAGCAAACTACACAGATACTACTAAAACCCAGCAGAATCATATGAAGCAAGAGGGGGGAGAAAATAAAAAAAAAATCAACAACCTATGCTCAAAAGACACAAACTATGCAACAAACATTCTCATTAAACAGGCAAGTATGAACAATCCAATGAAACATGCGATAAAGCAGATGATGTCCATTTAAAAAGTTCAGTGTAGGATATACTATTTGGAAAATTGCATATAAGGAACTGGCTTTATAGGATTTTAAGATAATAGGTATTAAAATCTGCAAATATTAGCTATCCACAGTGACTTTATGACAAAAAGTCATTTGAATAAAAAAAATGAAGAGGAAAATGTTGTATAGTCACTTGTGATGAGAGTAATTCAATGAATTCCAAATGCCTTTTTTCAGTAATTATCAATCAAATCAACCAACTGAAGGGTCCTATCAACTATCTTAATATTTATTTAGAAAAGCCATTGTGTTCAAATACAAACTTATAAAAGAAGCCAATTGGGGAGAGAAAATGTCAAATTTGTCAGTTGATATCCCACAAGAAACTTTAATATATACATTACACTCAACATTTATTTGCAGTTATGCATTCACATTTAAAGAAGTTTCATTAAGTTCAACAGTAATTTCATAATGGCAAGTGTTTCAAATCTGAATGTCATGTACAGGTACTGCATTCTAAAAAGATAAAAACCTATTAAGATTTAATAAGCATCCTGTGCATAGACTTTTCACATTTTTTCAGCAAGAAAATTCTAAATTCATGTTGTCAAATAAACAGTACCCATACAGCCAAACAGCCAGATAACTGTTTCATAATGAAAAGATTTCCTTCCATACCAATCACATTAGGGTAAATGAATATCTAATAATTTTAAAGTATAAAATTAAAAATTCCTTATTTAGAAAATCTTAAGTTCATAATTTGCACAGAAATTCTGGCAAGATCTTCACTGAATATAAATATCACTGGGATTAT